TACTAGATAGTTTAAGAAATAAAGACAAATAAAAAGCTGATTAAAAATTTTTGTCAGATTAATATGTCTTAAATTAATAAAAATAAAAAAAAACTTTAAATAACTTATTCTATAGTATAATTAATTTTTTTGTTCAAAAAAAATACCTAAGAGAACAACCCTTACTGATGCTCAAAAATATGAATTTTGTGTTTATGCTCAGAATAATAAAAAAATACAATCTCAATATGTTATTTAGATTAAAAACAAATGGGATCTTAGAGTTAATAAAAGTACAGTTTTGCGTATCTTGAAGACAAGTAAACAATGACTTGAAAATAAAATTGTTAACTCTAATACAAAGCATCACAGAGCTGTTACTTACTCAGAACTTGATCTCGCCCTCAAGAAGTTCGTGTTGATTTATCAGCATCAGACAGTTTTAAATGATGCTTTACTTATCAAAAAAGCAAAAGCACTTGCTTATAGTTTAGAAATTTCTCAAGAAGCTTTAAACTTCTCCTCTGGCTGGCTTTATAAATTCAAAAATTGAAATGGTATTTGTTTATGCTAGCTTCAAGGAGAAAACGTATCTGCTGATAAGATGGCAATTGATAATATTATACTAGTAATAAAAAATAAGTGCACAAATTATCCTGTTAAAAGAATCTACAACATAAACGAAACTAGTCTTTTTTATCTATATAAACTCTATAAACCCTATTTGTATATATGTTGTAAATACAAATAGAATTTAAGTAAATTTATATTTACTTAAATTCTATTCCTACTTATAGCATATATATATTATTTTTTTTTTTTTACATTATGAAATTTACCCTTAGATTGGAACCTAATAAACTGTTGGCAACTTAACGTCTTTCTGGATGTAAAATAAATAAGAAACGCCTAACAATTGCACTTTATGCAAATATTAATGGTTTATATAAATTAAAACTTCTTGTAATGAAAAATCCAAAAAACCATATTGTTTCAAAAATATAAGAGTTAAAAATTTGGATATAGAATATAAAAACAGTGCTAAAGCTTGAATGATTACATCTATCTTTCAAGATTAGATTGAAAAATTTGACTGCCAAGTTGGTCTTAAGCATAATAGCCAATATATATTATTACTTCTTGACAACTGCTCTAGTCATAATATCAATAGCATTACTCTCTGATAAATTGATGTTTAATTTTTGCTTTCAAACACAACTTCGAGAATTCAACCCATAGATGCCAGAATTATTATAAGTTTCAAAAGGTTTTATTGTCACTATCATATTCAGTAAGATTTTAGATTTTTTTTTTGTTTTTTTTTAATTAAAAAAAATCAAAAAAATCAAAAAAAAATCACAAAATGAAATTAGATTTTTTTTTCTTTTTTTTTTTAAAAAAAAATACTAATTATATTTTTTTTAAGCTAGATACTACAAGAAATCGAAAAGGAAGAGTGTACAGAAGATTAAAAAATAGATGTGTTGCAAACTATCTATTTTATTGCTAAAAGTTAAAAAGAAGTTGGTGTTAATACGATTCAGAATTGTTGGTGCTATATAAAAATTCTTTCTGTAAATACTAATGCCTATTTATAAAGTCTCTTAGAAGAGTTTTATCAAACTACAAATCCTGTACTTAGCGATATTGCAAATGCAATTGAAACTCTTAACCTCTTCTACCCTATGCAAGTTGAAGAATTTTTGGAAATTTCTGATGAAAACATTGTCTATAAAATTCTCTCAGATAAAAAAGTTATTAGAGAACTTGTTAAAATATTCTGAACTAATAGCTTAACAATTGCTAATATGAAAAATGTAGAAGATAAAGATGATAGCCTTGAAATCTCTATAGTTAGTACTGATATAGCAAATACAAGTTTGAAAATTATATGCATATTTTTGTTTCAGCAAGACAATATAGAAGAATATATCAATATTCTAGAAAAAATTGAAAAGTTCATTAATAAAACAAAGGTAAGCCAAATGCAACAAAGCAAAATTGATCAATTTTTTATAGAAAAGAATTAAATAGATTTTTTTGAATGTTATATAAAGTTCAATCTAATAAAGATTTAAAATTTTTACTTGATTAGGCTATATAAAATTATTGTTTTTTATAACCTGGCCGGGTCAGCTTTCATGATTTTTTGATACAAAATCTTGTGCTAATTACTATTAATACTTTCAAATAAGTTTAAAAAAAAAACTAAAATTATAAGTTTTTAATTTTTTTAGACAAAAAAAACTGAGTAAGCAATTATTTTTAGAATTTTATATTATACGAAACAAAAAATTATAAATATTTTTTGTATTGTAATAGACAGGTAAAATTAAATACTTATTAGTCAGAAATCTTTTCTATTAATAATATCCTGCTTAATTTATTTTATTCTTGTACTTTGTGTACAAGATATAACTAATAAGAGCATATTAGAACAATAGATATGATAATATATATTGCTATTGGCCAATTTTAAACTTAATTACATGTATGCACTTACAGAAATGCATATATATGCACAGAACTCCAAAATCTTATACATATACAGAATATAAAGGGTGATTAAATTTTGAGCTTAAGACCGAGCTATGGTTTGTATATAGAGAGGATTTGCACTTAGGAGAGTGCACTTAGAATAGTGATGTATACAGGATATTTTGGAACATAGTATTTAGACATTTTAGAATATTTTGACAAAAAATAATACTAATTTATTCAAAATGTTATTATAATAATCTGGTTTAATCTTCTAAATAAAGTTGTAGAGCATTAGATGGAATATATAATCATACATTTTTTATAAAAATATTTTAAATAGTTAAAGCTAAAATTAATATTTCAGATCTTGGATATTTTCAAAAAAGTGGCAAGACAGTCAAAACGTACATTATTGCTTAGAGAATATAACTGTATTATTATTGTAGAATAGTATTATTTTAATTATTTTTAGCATTATTATTATATAATAATGATTTAAATAGTAGTATATAGTATTATTACAATGATTTATATTATTATACAATAGTTTGTAGTATTATAGCTTTATTTTATAGTATTATTTTATAGCATTATCTTATAGTATTATAGTAAATAGTATTATTATATAGTATTATTAAAAGATATTTAAACTTTATCTTTTCTCCAAGGCAAAAAAATATCAATATATACTTCACATCTATTTCTTTGATAATTTACATCATTTTTAGATATATTTGACCTTTTTTTTAAATTATTTTTTTGTAAAAAAACCTTATTATTAAATATTTTTTTAGTAATAAACTATAATTTTATAGTATTTTTATAGTAGATTTATTGTATAGTCAAACCTTTCTAAATACAATATAACGAGACTATATACAAAAATTTAGCCAAATATATATTTAGAAAGATATTGTATTTAGGAAGATAAAAATCTATAGATATAATATTAGTTGAGCCCAAGAGAAGATATGTATTTAGAGAGGTATTTTATAGAACGTGTACTTAGGGGTAGCATTTAGGGGTCTGACTATATTTTTATGGTGAAATTATTGTTTTTTTAATTTAAGACATATTAATCTGACAAAAATTTTTAATCAGCTTTTTATTTGTCTTTATTTCTTAAACTATCTAGTA